GACACTGACACCATCGACTTCTCGTGTCCACACTGTCCACGCAAATTTACCTCACGCATCGGTCTGGTCGGTCACTTGCAAGTCCATCGCACAAAGACTGGCGAACCAGTGCCTGAAACACCAACCTACACCCGCCGAATCCGCCTCCACTGTACACACTGTCCTCGCACATTCATGCACCGCATGGGCTATTAGGCCACATGCGCATTCAGGAAAACCTGCGGTAGTCAACTGCTGCCTTCACCACACCACGACATTCTCCCTCATCAGCATCTTACCGCACATCAACACCACCCACCGCAAGCAACCACGGTGGGAAGTGTGCGTCTCGACTCGGTCTTCGTACGGCTTCTGCCGCATGGATGACTGGAGCCTGAGACTATCCCGACACGTCAAGCACCGCGGATTTGAAGGCTGCTGATTGACGCCCGCACTCGGTCCACACAATTCCTCCACTTGTGTGTGGAGTGGCGAACTGGTGTGCTGGGGGCCGGACCGAAACAGCTCCGTCCACGGCACTCTCACGCATGTGAGAGATACGCCGCTCAACCCCCGTTGTGTGAAATCCTGGTGTTTGTATTTGGGGGGCCAGGTCGTGTATGTGACGCCCTTAGAGATGGTCAATCGACTATGTTAGTCACCCCACCCATTCCGCTCCCCAGTCAACTAACCTGTTCGAACAGTGGCTGAGGCACGGGAATGGGAAGGGAGAGAGAGGTCGACGACTCAGCGCACTTTCCTCACTGTAAACAATCTGACGAGCTTGAAGCTATCACGGTGCGCTAAAAACCGTGGCTTGGAAGGTTGCCAATTGACGGGATAACTTGGATCTCGCGTCGACCCAGTGTTGTGTGTGCTACAGTTGTGGAGTGCCCGGCTAGTGGTCTAAGAGTCAGGCTGCGATGGCTCCTTCTTAATGTGGCCTCTATGACACTTCCATTGTGTGGGATCCGAGCCGGGCGTTGGCGATACATCTAGGTGCGGCTTCGGCCGTGCCAGCCTCCAATAACTGCTGCGTTGGTAAAAAAAACCTGTTTAATTGTTGTGTGGATCAGGGGGCGTGGAGTGGAACGCCAAGGTGCGGGCCCGACCCTTGCCATCCCCCTGCGCCCTCCCCCGTCTGCGGTGCTCTGGGCTCTGTCTTGCCACCGGGCCCAGGTGGGGGAGGGGAGGAGAGAGTGTAGTGGATGCAACGTAAGCCCACTATCACTGTAAACTAATTAAAACGCCAGTCACCGTCCCGGCTCTCACATTTCTGTGCACCATATGGTGGACATCATCGGATGCGACGATCGAACTGTGTGTGTGTGTGTGTGTATTTTGTCCCTAAAACGGGTACGCGGTAGATTTGCTGGTTCAAGACGGGGTCAAGGTCGAAGTCCGGCAGGCATTAATGGTAAACGCATACAGATGCCCGCATTGTGGTGTGGCGGTATGCCCTGGTGCAGGTTCATACGGCGCCGAGTGGAACCCGGGTCGCCCTCGATTTTTCCTTGGTGCATTTAATCCTGGTCGGTGTATTTTATGGACCAGGGAGTGTGCTGGTACGCCTAATTGTGGCTCTCCGCCATGGTGCGCTCTCTCCCGCCTCCGGTCTTTTCGGCTCTGTTTTGACTCCCGGTCCAGGTAGGGAGGAGGGTTGAGTGTGTCGGATGCTGTGCAAGACCACTATCACTCGAGCGCCAGCCACCCTCACTGCTCTTACCCTGCTGTGGAGCGCAGGGTGGATAGCATCGAAGGCGACAGTCAAACTGTCCTCGTGTTTAGCGATTTCCGTGACTGGTAACCGCGCCGCACAGCTGCTTTGGTTCCCCGCACAGGCGAGTCCATCGGTCCTACGGTTTACCTTTGCTATTTACGAAAACAGCTAAGGCATACGGTACGCAAATGACACAATTTCATGCCTGGTTTAATCATGACAACAACTACGGTGGTGTGTGCAGTTCGCAAACCCTGATTGAAGAGCGCCTGCACTCAGTTTTGCCACGACAGGACTGATGTGGCGGCTTAAGGTATACTAATTCGTACAACTTCCAGATAGCCTTCTTCCTTACATAATGACTTATCTGTGATTAAAGCATTCTTCTTCATTAATGAACTACTTACATGCACTTAGGGAGGAACGCAAGTGGACGCCGCAGACCAGAGGTTGTGAGTTGATTGCAAAGGATCAATATTTAAAGAAAACATCCGGTTAAGGTGCGTCGTTGGAGCTGGAAACCATGACATTTGCTTTATTGGAACTAAAACATGCTACGACGGCTTATCAGCCGCAACCTGTCACTGCATAACAGAGATAACTGATGAGAAAGATACAGAGACTTGAATTTTCACAGAAAAAATCAATGCAAAACAACAAGGTCAGTGTTTTCTGCGGCTGATAAGCCGTCGTGAAATTTGTTGTTTTCAATAAACTCTGCTGTGTATGTTTGTTTCAAATTCATTTCGGGGAAATACTGCTTTAAATGTGACATTATATTATGACAGATGGGCGCTCACCGATCAGGTGACGGAACTTTCTCGGTCCCTTGTGCCTTAGAACTCAAATTAGAACGAGCACTAAACTAACTGACGTGCAACGGGACCGTGACTGAATGGTAGAGTATCAAACCCCATGAACAAAGATTTCGGGTTCGAATCTCAAGTAATCCAAACTTGGGGTTGGGTACGACTGGCTGATGACGGCTAATAAGCCAGAAATTGCCATTCCGGTCTCTCTGGCCCTTGTTGGTCTTTGTCGGTAATGATATACATCACTTATTATTCACCGTTCTCATTATTTGAAGTTTACGTCCATTCCTGACTAAATGTAGACTTACCAGCGGCGCATTATTCAAAGTCCTTTATTTTGTGAAACTTGCTTTTAGTTTATTTTTTTAATGATAAAGCTCACGTTCTTTGTCAAATGGTTGTATGCGATGAGACTTTCGCAGAAATTCATTTTTTGACTTCTTCCTCGCCGCCCTGTGTGCTGCTTCACGTCTAAAACCCCCTCTACCGCCATTCAGCCTATGACACGGTCCACAGGCTAGCTCAAGTTAGTTGTGGATCCTACGCCTTATCGTTGCCGTAAATCGAATCTGGGACAGTCGAGCAGCGCGTTACAGCATAAAAGAGTTTTTCGCGAGCATTCTGTGATCAGCACTGTTGACGGTGACGCATTCTTGGATAAGCTCCTTTTGGGCTACTTAACGCAAACTCCCAGCTGTTGCGCGCGATCTGTCACTATTCAGTGAGTCGTGGAAGATACCTGCTTCCGTGTACATCCCAGTGTTGGTAACTACCCATGGGGTACTGTCATACATGCTTCTCTGCTATTTCCTGCACCACTCCAATCTCTGTTGTGTTAGTTGAAATCCTCGTTATTTGTTGTGTGGACCAGGGGGTGTGGTGAAACGCCAAGGTGGGGATCCGTCCGAACCATCTACCTGCGGCCTCCCTCGTCTCCGGTATTCTTGACTCTGTCTTGCCACCGGGCTCAGGCGGGGGAGGAGGAGAGGGTGTGGTAGATGCAGTGCAAGTCTACTGGCATTATAAACCCCTGCGCAAGTCACCGTCCCTGCTCCCACAATGCAGTCTGTGGGGCACACGGTGGACATAGTCGAAAGCGAGGGTTAAACTGTCGTGTGTGTGTGTGTGTGTGTGTGTGTGTTTGTGGGGTGTAGGGGTGTCCAGCAGTGGGTTCACGTGACGGTCGTAGTAGGTCGCCCACTTGCTTGCAAGTGCAGACTACGCCTAGCGTTCATTTGTTGGCACCCAACTCTCAAATGTGGCTCCGCGTAGCTGGGTTCTACTCCGCGGCCACCCCCCGGGCAACCGCTTCTACCGGCGGGCTAAACCGGGTGAGGGCGGTTACTCCCAGTGCGCGTTGTGCCGCGTGCAAAGGGTACTGCGGACTCCGCTGGACGGATGGTCGGATGGGACATCGCGTCAGCACCGTCGTGACGAGGCTCCGTCTGGTACGCCGCTGGCCAGCCGGTTGGTGGGACGTCGCATCGGCATCGTCGAGACGAGGCTCCACCTGGTACGCCATTAGTCAGCCGGTGGGAGGGATCTTTGAATCGGCATCGCCGACACGCGCCCATCTGGTGCACCGTAGGAAAGAGCGGGCTTACGGCGATGTCGTAAGCCATTGGCAAATTCGAGTCGTTCTTCCACTGCCAGCAAAATTCGTGGCCCACAGTGGAGTTCGGCAGCGCCGGCACATTAAACGCAGCCCTAAGCAAGGAGGCACTGCTCGCATTCGGGGGGGCCTGGGAAAGCTGGCCTACAGATTGCTGGGAAACAACGTCGTCTGCAGGCTGACAGTGGTCGCAGACGTAAAACTCACGGTCGAAACAACCAAAATCGAAACAACAACAACAACAATAACAAGCATACTCTCTTTCTCTTCCTCATCCTGCCTCTTCTTCCTCTTCCTCTGCCTATTCTTCTTCTTCGTCATCTTCTTTGTCCCCTCCTTCCCACCGTCCCACTCGTCGCCGCCGCCACCGCCGCTGCAATCGCCAGACTGGCAGGACGAGTCCTCTCACACTGGCAGCCTGGAATGTTCGTTCCCTTTCAGATAACCCGAAAAGCAACCGATCGGAAGGGAGGACAGCGCTAGTTGCCCGAGGACTGGCAGGCTACAAGGTGGACATCGCCACACTCAGCGACACCCGATTCTCCGAGCACGGCCAACCGGAGGAGGTGGGTGCCGGCTACTCCTTCTTCTGGAGTGGTCGCCCCAGGGCAGAGTGACGAGACGCGGATGTCGACTTCGCCATCCGAAACGACATCGTGGGACGACTGCCCTGTCTGCCTCAGGGCATCAACGATCGCCTGATGAGCCTCCGTCTGCCTCTCCGCCGGGGTGGGGGCAAATTCGCCACCATCATCAGCGTCTACGCCCCGCCGATGACCAGCCCCGACACCGCAAGAGACAAATTCGGCGAAGACCTGCACGACCTCCTGGCGACTGTGTCGAAGGCGGGAAAGTTGATTGTCCTTCGGGACTTTAACGTCCGCGTTGGAACAGAACATGCTGACCATGGAGTGCTAGGTCCCCACGGTCGCCGCGGTTCAAACGACAATGGCCTGCTCCTTCTCCGCACCTACGCAGAACACCGCCTCATCCTGGCAAACACTTCCTTCTGTCTGCCGGAGTGAGAGAAGGCCACCTGGAGGCATTCTCGGTCGCGTCAGTGGCACCTGCTGAACTGTGTCCCCGTCCAGAGGCGAGATCAACGGGACCTGCTGGTGACGAAAGCGATCACGGGCGCTGACGGGTAGACCGACCATCGCCTCGTCATCTCGAAGATGCGTATTCGCCTACAGCCTCGCCGAAGGCCACAAGGTAAGCGACCCCCAGGTAAGCTGAATGTTGCCTTGTTGTCTTTGCCCGCTCACCATACTCATTTCAGCAATGAGCAAGCTCAACGGCTAGAAAACCTTCCAATAGCTGCCGCCACTGCCGCCGCCACTGTCGAGAACGCCTCTGTGGAGAACCGCTGGTGTCAACTGCGGAACACAGTCCAGTCGACAGCGTTGGCCGGCCTCGGTCGCGCTCCCCGCCAACACCAGGACTGGCTCGACGACAACGACGCCGCCATCAGCAATCTGCTCGCCGAGAACCGCCTACACAAAGCCTACGTAGACCACCCCACTGACGACAACAGAGCTGCCTTCTACCGCAGTCGCCGCCAGCTTCAGCAACGACTGCGCGAGATGCAGGACGCCTGGACTGCTCGCAAAGATGAGGAGATCCAGGGGTACGCAGACCGCAACGAGTGGAAGAACTTCTTCTCCGCGATCAAAGCTGTCTACGGTCCGCCGACAAAGGGCACTGCTCCTCTCCTCAGCGCCGACGGCAATACCTTCCTGACCGAGAAGACACAAATTCTACAGCGATGGACCGAGCACTTCCGAGGCGTCCCCAACCGCCCCTCCACCATCTCCGACGCCGCCATCGCCCGTCTGCTGCAAGTGGAGACCAACGTGGATCTCGACCTCCCGCCATCTCTTCAGGAGACCATTAAGGCCGTGCAGCAACTCTCCAGCGGGAAAGCACCCGGATCGGACGCAATCCCTGCTGAGGTCTACAAGCACGGATGTCCCTAACTGATGGATCACCTGACTGCGCTCTTCCAGGAGATGTGGCGCCAAGGGGAAGTCCCGCAAGATTTCAAAGACCCAACAATCGTGCACCTATACAAGCAAAAAGGGAATCGTCAAGTCAGCGACAATCACCGCGGCATCTCCTTGCTGAACATCGTCGGAAAGATCTTCGCTCGCATCCTGCTCAACCGCCTCAATAACCATCTGGAACAGGGCCTTCTACAGGAAAGTCAATGCGACCTCCGCCGTCATCGTGGGACCACGGATATGATTTCCACCGCCCGTCAACTTCAGGAGAAGTGCCAGAGATGCGGACCCACCTGTACTCTACCTTCGTGGACCTGACGAAAGCCTTCGACACGGTGAACCGTGAAGGACTGTGGAAGATCATGCAGAAATTCGGCTGTCCGGAGCGATTCACTCAGATGGTGCGTCAGCTGCACGACGGTATGATGGCGCGAGTCACGGACAACGGTGCTGTCTCAGAGGCATTCGCATTGACCAACGGAGTAAAGCAGGGATGCGTGCTGGCGCCTACCCTCTTCAGTCTTATGTTCTCTGCCATGCTGATGGATGCCTACCGCGACGAACGCCCAGGGATCCGCATCGCCTACAGGAAGGATAGCCACCTCCTCAATCTACGCCTAATTAACTTCCAATCGCGCGTATCCACAACCACAATCCACGAAATTCTCTTCGCCGACGACTGCGCCCTGAACACCACCTCGGAAGAGGACATGCAACGGAGCATGGATCTCTTCTCCGGCGCCTGCGAGAACTTCGGTCTCGTCATCAACACGCAGAAGACGGTGGTCATGCATCAACCGCGACCCAACACAGCGACTCCCCCAACGTGTATGTGCGGAGTGGCGAACTGGTGGGCTGAGAGCCAGACTGTAACGACTTCTTCTTAACGCGACCAATGGCACTCTCACGCATGTGAGAGATACGCCGCTCAAACCCCTTTGTGTGAAATCCTGGTGCTTGTGTCTGGGGGCGAGGTCGTGCACGTGGCGCGCGCAGACAAGTTCACTAGATATGCCAGCCACCGTGCCCAGCCCCGCTGCAGTCGACTGACCGGTTCGGACAGTGGCTGGGGTGTGTGAATAGGAGCAGAGAGTGAGGTCGACGACTCAGCGCACTTTCCTTCTCATTATAAACAATCTGACGCCTTTGAAGCTCTCACTGTGCGCTAAAAGCCGTGGCTTGGAACCTAGACCTCGCAGTCTGCCCAGTGTTGTGTGTTTGTGTGGAGCGGCCGACTTGTGGTCAAAGAATCAGGCTGCAATGTCCCCTTCTTGATTTCACTCCCACTCCATGCGATCCGAGGCGGCTGCGGCGGCTTCGGTAGCACCAGAAACCTTCGACCTTCTCCATGTGGCTCCTCTGATGAACGTGTAATCCGCGCCTGAGGTTATCAAGGTGTGCCAAGCGTCGTGGCTTAGAAGGCTGCCGACTGACGCATCTACTCAATCCACGCAGTCTGTCAAGTCGTGTGTTCATGTTTTCCCCAAAACGGACTATGCGCTGGGCCAACACGGGGGCCACATCGGATCCTCGCAGGCGTTATCGAGAATGCGCACCCATAACAAATGCCAACATTCGGGATCTGGTGACAGGCCCAGTTGTCGGCTGACGTCGTGCCATCGGAGATCTCTGCCGGCCCCCGTTGTTGTTGTGGACCTCTGTTATGTACCAGGGGTTGTGGTGGTACGCCTAGGTGCGGTCTCGGTTGTGTCAGCCGCCGGTCTTTTTGACTATGTTTCGACACTGGGTCCAGTTGGGGGAGGATAAGAGGGTGCGGTAGATACGGTGAAAGTTTACGCTGGCTATAAACTAACTCACACGCAAGTCATCATGCCTACTGCACTTCGCTGTGAAACATAGGTTGGACATCTTCGGAGGCGACGGTTAAACTGCGTGTGTGTGTGTGTGTGCGCACTCCCGAAACGGGCCACGCGGCAGACGGGCTTGATCGGACTCCGGCAGGCGTCGTTGGAAATGCACACGCATTACCAATTTCAATTGCGAACTCACAGGGCTCACACTGATATCCTTTCAGCCCCGTCATTGTTTTACATCATGGTCAGGTGTATGCCAAGGGTTGCTATCGTAGGCCTAGGTGCGAGTTTTTTTGTCCTGGCCACCAGCATCCGGTTTTATTGACTATATATTGACAGGGGGAGCAGGTGGGGGAGAAGGAGAGGGAGTGTGGCAGGCGGTGCGCAAGTCCGCGCGTCCTTGTTCACCAGACTGTAGAGCATACGGCGGACATCGTTGGGAACGGCGATCGAACTGTCCTGTGTCGTCTTCCCTATTCATATTTCACTGTGCTGAGAGACTCTCACTGCAAAGTAAATCACGGACAGTTGGCTGAGTTGATGTCAGGAAGTTCCCCACTTTTGATTGAGTTGCGGCGATGCGGTGGAGCGCCTGGATTTGTCAAAGGGAATAAAGCACGCACGCATATGAACCTTTAGCGTGAACTCTGGATAGGGACTGGAGATTTCTTGGGGTGTTTTATACGACCCAGAATGACTTTACACGAGTCTGCATTTTCGGTATCTAATTTTGATTGGAATATTGCGGTGTACGGTACGTGGAACCTAGGTGTTAGAGCTTGGCTTGGATTATGTACATATACGCAGAGAATCGGCACCTGTGGGCACATTTATCGCTAAGTAACCGTCGTGGGTTAATCACGCCCTGCAAGTAATAACGGATTAATCACGCGTGATTTGCTCACTTCTACTGCATAGAGAACGCTGGGGGTCCCACTGCAGAGCCGAACCCCTCGCAGATGTGTCACGCAACGGCAGAATATCGGTGAGACATGTGTCTGGGTTTTTGCAAGTGTCTATTTTGGGAGTACGGTATAATACCTTTAACATATTGATTTCATACTGCTCGTAGTACTACTCGTTTGTAGAATGGGCATTACATGGTTATTCCACAGTAGTTGATTGTCTTCGACTCGAATGTTCATTGAAATTTCGGTTCTGACCCTAAAAGGTTAGGTCTCAGTGATTTAAATCCAAGTCCTGCGCTGACTAATTTCTGAAATTATTCACCTGATTATTCTCTGGAGTTCATATACCAGAAACCGCTAGAGAACGCTGGGGGTCCACTGAAGAGCCGAACCCCTCGCAGATGTGTCACGCAGCGGCAGAATATCGGCGAAACACGCGTCTGGGCTTTTAGCAAGTATCTATGTCGGGAGGTAGGTATAATACGTTCGATATATATTTATATATAAAGTGTTCGATTTTTTGCCTCGGTTACATCAATCTCATATGGAACATAGTCATGTTAACTAGGAAAGAAGACGCTTAATTTACTGCAACATGGCGTCATAGTAAACATTCTACTGTCTTAAACCACGACTCTTTCGTCTATCCCTGCTCACCCCTATGCAACAACATCGATAATTAAGGACTAAGGCTGAGTACGATCAGTCGAATACGTGCACTTGCCAGACTTCTGTGGAAGAACTTTCTAGGCCCTCCTACTCCGACTTCCCTGTAGCTCCTATTTCGAGTAAGTGATTAACCCTTTTACGGGGGCGTAGTTACTTTACGCCGGAGATACTACGAGGTATCACGATCCAGACACCACGACAAGTATGTGTACGTGTGCAGTACCTCCGGGCCAGACACCAGAACAGCCATAAAAACACGTGACGCCGTGGTGCGTATCGCAGGTCAGACACAACAACACGGTACTTGTGTCCGCGCCCACTAGTTGAAAGGAGCGACTGCGCAGAGCGTTTGCTCGATGACGAGTTATCCGCTACTCTCTCTCTCTCTCTGCGTCTACCCACGTGGCTGGAATCTATGCTGGCGCCTGCCAGGGCGGTTTAGCGCATCCCCGCAACCAATCAGGTGCAGCATCTGACACACACACACGCACTCACGCACACCCACGCGGTGTTCACGCCTGCCGATGCGGAGGGGGAACGGCAAAACATTGGCTCTGACTGGTCAGTGTCCCACGGCATCTAATTCACAGGCGGGGTACACCTTTTGCTGTTAGCGCTGATTCGGTGGTGCCTGCCGCGCAAACCATGATTAACCAAAACTCGAACACAGATGGTCGAGAATAGCATTTAAGTGCTTAATTGATTGGTGCACACAAATTTGAACGAGAGGAAAGGTGGGCGTCACAACGCAGATGACTTTTTATGTCTCCACCCAGGTGGTCAACTGCAGATAGCAGTGGTCAGCGGGCGGAAGAACATTCGGGAAATTCCAGTCTTTTCTTGATACGCCTGCCTAATTTGCCCGGTTTCATTGTATTCACTTATAGTGTCCCCCACGCTCACCGATCTAGATTTTGGGGCCGGCAGAATTAGCGCACTCTTTTTTTCTAGCAGCAAAGGCCGAATACCTTGGGTCTATTTATGACTTTCACATTTCAACGAACTGTGTGTAGTGAGGCCGTCTCCTCTCCGCCTCTGTTGAAACAGCCGTGTCGTATTCGGAGCATGTGGTCTATGGCGAAGG